ATACACGTGGAAAGAAACTTGCATCAGGCGCTTCTAGATACCTTATTTATCCACACGTGGCGTGGCTTTCATTTTTTTAAGTTTGGGCCCCCGCAACTCGAAAGAAATGTTTTTGAGGACAACCAAGTCCCCGATTAAGGGTGGAATATTAAATCAAGGCCCCCCAGCACATCCTGGTACTATCGCAAGAAACTTAAAATTGAGTGATTTCTGAGGAAGGTCTCAAAATGTGAATGGTTACCTTTTCTCACACTTTCTTTTCTTGCTGGCGCGCGTGGAAATATTGATAATTAATTAAATGCATACATAACGATATATGTTTCAAATTACACTTCTTGACGCATCGACAATAAGTGCACAAGTAAAATAAACCCTCTCTAGCACCTCAATACACCGCAATGTTTTCCTTCTATACGTTAAAAATAGTCTTGTTCTTAACAGGAAAAACAGCAACAACGTTAACTAGGATATGCTGAAAACAATTATGTATTATGAGAAAGTTCAAATATCATTAGGGTTCGCTTTTTCGCGGAGCACGTAGTTTGCAAAACACTGCGACAGACAGCATGATTCGAGCTGTTTACATTACAGAGATTATGTCTTCGTGCAAAGATACCAACTGTGAAGATTGCTTTTGTATGGAGAATCATGTTCTCGGTCTGGTTTTTCGCTATATTATCTATGCGCAACGCAATTATTGGCTCCATATGTGTTCTGTGGGAAAGTAGGTGCAAGGGCCGTGTTCATAAATAGGGTGGCTATTACTCGAGTAATAACGGTATCTCAATTTGGAAATTCAGCTTTACTCCTAGTTTACTCTCATCAGTTGCATAATGCTTGAACTGATTCTTGACGCCTGGCTAAACGAGGACGAACGGACATGATTTGGCAGTTTAGTCTCACAAACCCGAGAAAAAAACTTCTACAAAAAAATTACAGTCCAGGTTATTATTTTTTAAAGTAGATGTGCTTGAATGGCAAATCCTGTATTTTCGTGAGTTTTTAAATTGTGTAATTATAAACTTGGCTGGTCGTCTTAAATTTGAGTGAGCTGCATTCGAAATTTTTTTTATGCAGGTAAAGACACCTTCGAAATTAAGTAACTTGCTGTTATATCGGAAAGAGATTCTGCTTAAAATATAAAATTTATATCGAGTTGTTTATATCTAAAAATAGATCGTACACTTCGATTAACTCAAATACTACCCTTGGTAGCAATACCTCGAACAGTCTAATTATTCACTGAGGAACTTGCACTTTATATGCCGTCATCTTGCTAGGGTGGTCTAAGAATTGCGGTATGCCATATATATTACAGGACTAGCATATCAAATTGTTCAAACCGCGGCGTTAAGGTGCTGTGGCCATATTTTTATATTAAATTCACGGGATCTTGCGGGACCAGTGCCATATTTCGCTAGGAGATAGCGCGATTGGGCAGATTTTTGGGGACGAAAGCAACGCACCCAACGCAGGGGTATGGAATACGAGCTTCTGAACAAGAAGATACAGTCACCCAGGGCCTTAATATTTATTTATTTATTTTTATTTTACGTGCCCAGCAACAAAAAAGCAGGTCTCCTCTTTGGTGCACAAATATATAAATATGACCAGAAAAAAAAAGAAAAACACAATTGCATGTTTTAAACATAAAGCAGCAAACACACAGCATTTAAAGTTCGGCTACAAGCACTTTCACTTAATTCCTGAACGCCTTAATGTCTCTGTATATATCAAGTTTGACATTTTCAATATTGATAAACAAAGATTGTATCTGTGACAGAGGAGATGGTTTACAGACGTTGTGAATACTGAAAGTACTGCGGGTCCTAGTGGAACGAGGAGGGACATGAATGTATACATCAGGTAAAAGCGAAGCACTGTCAGATACGGTATTTTTAATTTAGTACAGAAGAACTAAGTCGCGCTCTGATGTTCTATTGGTCAATGGTATCAACGCAAACTTATTAAGCAGAAAAATTTGATCAAAATAGAAACGCGGTTGGAAGTAGCAATCACAAACAATACGTATAATGGTAACGAAAACCCGAGACACAGGAACACAGAAGGGGACGAACACAACACAACGTCCCCTTCTATGTTCCTGTGTCTCTGGTTTTTATTACCATGAATCATCACCAGCTCGCTTGTTTTTTTTAAGTATTATTGCTATATGAATTAGTTTGTGTTGCACATTTTGGATGGTTATTGCTTTTGCTCTTGGTAACGAATTTCCGGCCACAGAAGCGAACTGAAGCCTAGACCATACTAGGGCACAAAATAAACGAATAATGGAGGCCGGGATCTTGAATGGTTGAGTAATGAGGCATATAACCCAACCCTCTCATCGTCCTTCCAACAATAAACGACATGTGAGCAGTAAAGTTGAATGCATTATCGAGATACACGCCAAGGTCTTTCACAACAGAGGCACGCTTGATTGTCACTCCGTCTATAATGCGTAGTGTACTATACATACCACATGAAGAAAGTCAATACACTTGTTTTAAGGGGATTCAGTGATAAGCTATTTGCTGAACACCACTGGACAACACGTAATACGTCATGTTGCAGAACGTCACAGTCAATTAAATACTTTACTCTCGTAAAAAGATTGATGTTATCAGCAAACATCAGTAACTCAGCACTATCCGCAAAGGCGGCTCGGTCATTGACGAATGTTAGGAACAAAAGGGCCGAGAATAGGTGCATGAGGGACACCAGATGTTAAAAAGAAAATGCAGGAATAACTGTTGTGAGTACGAACACTGTTTGGACGACATGATAAGTAACTTTTGAACCAGTTACACCGCTCTGAACAACAAAAGGATGACAATAAGTTGTGTATCAGCAATTCATTAATTACTTCATCGAAAGCTTTCGACACGTCAAACTATATACAATCAACTTCGCCTCTGTTTATAACAATTGGGGTAGAATAGTTTAAACAGCAAAGAATCGTTTCGATCGACCGTCCTTTCAGAAAACCATGCGGACAAGATACAAACTTTTGGCGGAAATAAAAAAAAAAAAAAAAAAATTCGGGAATTCAGAACCCGTTAAAAAATTTTTGAAAGCCCCGAGAATAAAAATATGGGGCGATAATTACTTGTGACGGAGCTATCGCCTCCTTTTAAGATAGGTACCACAACCGCTTCGTTCCCTAGTGATGAGAAGGCACTGGAATTTAGAGAGAGGTTAAAAATGTGCAACAGAACGGGTGCGAAAATGTCACTGCAGCCCTTTGTAATAAACGATAGAATATAGTCAGCGCCAGTAGATAACTTTGGTTTGAACTGTTTAATTACTTCTGCGATTTCTGTCGTATCTACTATGATACCAGTCAAGAATAACGGCAGTTCGTTTTAACTTCCTGAGCCGGAGCAATACCCTGACTGGTTAAGTTAATATATTCGCAACTTTTAAAAGAGATGTAACATAACTCGCATCGTTATCAGTGCGCAAACAAACGCTTTAGTCAGAATTGCGAGTGTGCTTTTTCGCAAATCGCCAAAGGGTTTTTGGCTGCCGGTTTCAGCTACTCTCTACCTGGTCAAGGTGTAGGCGCTTGTCACTTGAATATAACTTTTAGAGCGGAGCTCTTAGGCGCCTGTTTCCGGCTCGATCGGCGTCAGCGTCGGCGTAACCGCGCGGTGCATTATGGGAAAGGTTCCATAATGCACCCCGCCGACGTTTCGGCGCGGTGCCGAATCGTCACCGTGTCGAAACGTCACGAGTGAGGTTTCGGCACCGCGCCGAAACGTCGCGTGACGACGCGCGTTTCACGCGTGAAAGAAGGAGGAGGAGATGAAAGAGCGTACGGATGAGGAGGAGGGGCATACCCTCCCCTCAGCACCCTCCCCTCGTCCTCCTCATGAGCTGAGCTCTAAATCGGTGTTACAGGAAGTTGTAAACGTCTTTCACTTTTTTTGTCACTGAGGCCCCGTATACGTTGAACTCAGTGTAATATAAGTGAGAGGACGTTTGTTTGAAAAGTCTACGAAAGCGGTCTTTCTTTCGCATATACATTTTCAACTTTTTAGGAAACCACTCAGAATATATTGAAGCTTTCGCAATGCTCTGCATCACAAATAGATTAATTCAGCCTTTAACCATCAAAGAAAATGTTTCCATCACCAGTTCAACATCAGACATAGTGAGCAGGCCGGTCCAGTAGCGGTTTTTGATGTATTTTTAGATATTCTGGTAAGCACCTTTATAGTAACAGTTAAGTAGATTAGGGATACGTTGCTGGCTTCTAACGAGAAAGACAGAACTCAACAGTGAATGGAGGGTGGAAGACTTCCATCTGCACTAAGGGGGCAAAACTAGGAGTTACAGAGTCAACCGGTACGCTCGGCAGAACAAGGTCAATGACACTTCCAGCTCAATTCTCGATTCTGCTAAGTTGATCCAAGCCACAGAACTTCATAAAGTCCAATAAACATGAACCCTTATTTTTTGTTATGGAGCTGCCGCTATTAACTTCTCCAACTGACCAACCTACACCCGGAAGGTTAAAATCGCCATACAGCGGTTCTCTGTACCTGCTGAAATCAACGTTTCTTAAGTGCCTCGAGATGCTGAGCAAAGATAACCTGATCAAACAGGGGTGGAAAGTAGTAACTTCAAACTAGGGATATTTACGTATATGTTTATATATGTAAATAAAGTAAGAAAAAAATACCTTCGAATTGTATTAATGTGACAATAAAAGTCATTGTTTGCGGAAAGTACACAAATCAGAAAACTATGTGAAATCGTTTTAAATATCATAGATGGCTACATGGACGTGGAAAAAACGTATTCCTAAAACTTCCCAGAGCAGTTCCTAAGAAACATATTATACGTGTATTTAAAGAAGAAAAATGTTTATTCACTATGAGGACGTGCAACGATTTAGGCAATTTGTTTTCAATATTTGTTTGTTAAACTGCCAAAGTAATTCACCTACTTAGTAGCGGTCATATGCGCTTTTAAAGGCTTGATCCCGGTCTTACCTTCTCGCAGACAAGACTTGTAAAAGATAAGAGCTTTGTCCGTGGCGTTCTGGTTCTCGTACTTGAAAATTGTTGTGTTGAGTATACCTGAAAAACCGATGCAAAATGTTTTAGGTGAAGGCCTGATTTAAAGACTGCACTTACATTTTTAAGTTTTCGGCAGTTTAGATTTGTCGTATACACGTAAACGTATCGAAATAAAGGCGTACAATGGTACAGTGGAATGTAAAGTAGGTTATGCGAAATAAACTATACAACTTATTGATTAGAAATAATTATTCTCATGATCCTTAAACTACATTTTTATTGAGGGTCGCACTAGGCCATACATTAAAAAAGAGGGAAAGAAAATCTGTCATTGGGCTATTTATAATTCTGCATAATTCTCCAAAACTTTCGCATCGCTAAATAGCATGGCCGTTCAAGCCGGCCATTAATTATCCTTTTTGTTCGGCTTTCAATCAGTTAAAATTTTGAAAAGCAAAAAGCAAATAGAAGGCTGTAAGTCGCAAACCAGCCAATGGCACCTGGCACGCTAAAGCAAATAACTGAGGAATAATTTTGACCACCGGGGGATCTTTTCACGTGCAACAAAACTTCCGGTTATACGGCGCCTGCTCTGCCATATTGAGGCGTTGAGTAATCTCAGCGTTCATAAATTGAGGTCTCAGTGCATATATAGCACCACGTGCCCTGCTGAAGTTAAGGAAGCATTTCATATTTTCACCCATGTGTGATGTTGAATTTGATATTGCTGTAGTTTTATGAAGGTCCGTTTTGTAAAAGGCACAATAACCTAGTTTTACAAAACTAAAAAAATATAGTTTTGTGTACCGACAATGCACAATTAAGACACGCGCCGAGTCAAGCTGAAAAGGCATGAGTTTATTTGTATCTGTTTTCCAAAGAAGGAAAGCTCGATTGAATATTTAGAGTATTCACTCCACATTCTTACTTCCAATGTCGTTGTTCACACGTTCCGCACTTTTATGGACAGAACTGATGCTTTGTTGGTCGTCGGGAATGGGGTTGGACAACAACCATTTGCCGCAGACAAACCCGTAAAAATCTTGGCATGGGTCCACGGTGTTGTTAATGGCCGATAAGATTAGGTCTGCTGCAATAAAACATAACAAACACGATTCCAAGATCGAAAAGACTCAGTCGGCCGACGGGCTATTTTGGGAGGCACCACATAAACGAAATGGATAAAGCATCTCTTGAAATGTTAAAAGAGTGGAACAACGGGTTTTGTACTTTCACTATCTGCCCCATCAGATTAATCTACGACGGTTATAACCTACAAGAAACGCGTTAGTTTTTCTCTCTACGCAGTGACAATCACACACACACACACACGCACACACATAAAAAGACCAGCATTGACCTCATTAATTTGCAGCCTAAAAGAGCGGACACGTGATCTGGGGATGAGTGAATGGCACAAATGCTTATTATAGCAAAGATGCACCGGAGTTAGAGAAGCACAGGGCACGTGGTGATCTCCAGACATTGTTAGGATTCGGGTGTTTCCGTCACCAGAGCTATTTTACACAAGCCACTAGCGGAATGCTCATTGAATGCTCATCGTGAAAAAATCCCGGGACTGTGGAAACAATGGAATCGCCGTTACCACTGCGTTAAGCTTTGCAGTCGGCGGCAAACGTTTCGTACAGTGTGTAAAACTGCGTTTTTTCTACCTACAGTTTCCGATGCGCTGTGATCTACCGTGGAAGCACACCTCTGCGCCTCGACCAGACCGATTCCTCGTCAACTGCGTACCAAACAAGATGCGAGGCTGTCTTCACTGACAAGTCATCCTGCCCACAGCTACGCTATCAGCCCGCCGCAAGGATCGCAGTGTCTCGGCGCAGTTTTCGGCACCCTCCCCGGAGATAAAAGCGCACCCGCCACAACAGTCCTCGCAGTCGGCGGCAAACGTTTCGTACAGTGTGTAAAACTGCGTTTTTTCTACCTACAGTTTCCGATGCGCTGTGATCTACCGTGGAAGCACACCTCTGCGCCTCGACCAGACCGATTCCTCGTCAACTGCGTACCAAACAAGATGCGAGGCTGTCTTCACTGACAAGTCATCCTGCCCACAGCTACGCTATCAGCCCGCCGCAAGGATCGCAGTGTCTCGGCGCAGTTTTCGGCACCCTCCCCGGAGATAAAAGCGCACCCGCCACAACAGTCCTCGCAGTCGGCGGCAAACGTTTCGTACAGTGTGTAAAACTGCGTTTTTTCTACCTACAGGTGAGCGTTATTCCTGCTATGTCTTAGATTTTGCATGCTTTTGCCGCCGACTGCAACACTTAGCGTTATTGAATAGCCTTTTATGCCTATTATGAAACTGATACAGTAATATGGCTGGCGCCCAGCACGAGACCTGTTTGGCGTGTGATCAGGCATTGCCGGGTGATGGGGTTTTCGTGACATGTGTTGAGTGCAAATTTTCTTACCACCTTGGAGATTGCTCGGGTGTTCAACGACCAACTAGTAAATCGAAGGGTGACTGTCTTCGTAAAAATTGGCGGTGCCCGTCATGTGTAACTGCAAAAAAGAGAAGTGCCAGCAAGGAAACTACCCTTGATATACCAAGCATGCTTGTCAGCATAAACGCCAAGCTAGAGAGCCTTCTAGGTCTTAAGGAAACGGTTGACAGCATCGACCAATCGATTCAAGTTATGTCGAAAGACTATCAAGAGCTACTGGGAGAAGTGCGAAACCAAGGTCAGGAAATTAATGATCTAAAAAAGCGCGTGGAATGCCTTGAGAATGCTGATAACACAACGGAAATGCAGGCACTGAAGTCGGGCCTACATGACCTTGAATGGCGCAGCAGGCGTTTAAATCTGGAAATTCACAATGTTACACCAGCTGAAAATGAAAACCTGATGACGAAAGTAAACGAGGTAGCACAGAAACTCGAGTTACCAACGCTCGAGGCAAGTGACGTAGTAGCTCTTCACAGAATGCCATCGAAGTCCGACAAAGTTCCCGGAATTATCATACGTTTTGCACAACAAGAAAAACGCGACGAGTGGCTTCGGAATAAAAAAAAACTTGCACGCGGTCAGCGAAGTATTTATATTTTAGAAAACTTAACCAAACAAAACAAGGCACTTCTCTGGATCACAAAAGAATGGGCAAAGCAAAGGTCTTATCAGTTCGTATGGCACCGAAATGGAAAAATTCTTGTCAGGCGTGGGGTGGGCGAGCGCGCAGCTGTTGTCAGATGTGAGGATGACCTGCGAAAGCTGTAGTAATATTTTTTTTCCCTTTGAAAGTTCACTTGGTCGTTTATCGTTTTAATGCTTGGTCATGATTGTTTACTTCCATGTGACCTTGAGGCATATCTTGGTACTGAACGCCATGCTTTCACGAAATATTTTCATGTGAATGCCCAATCTGCTAAAAATAAGAATATAGATTTCGAAGTGTTTTTTAATCAGGTTCCTTTTTTGTTTGACGTAGTAATGTTATCAGAAACGTGGTATCGTAATGATAGTGATGTTTTGAAACTTCCTGGATACGTCAGCTTTTCGTTAAATCGCACATCTCGCCGAGGTGGCGGAGTATGTCTACTAATTAAAGACACAATTAACTGTGAAATATTGTCACATTATTCATGTATTACACGGGACTTCGAAGTATTAACAGTGCGCGCGAAATGTGTAATCATAAGCGTGTTTTATCGGCCTCCAGATGGCAATAGTGAGAACTTTTTTGGAATTTTTCAACACATACCTTCGTTTTGTCAATGATAATGGTTATACCGTAATTTGCGGTGGGGATTTTAATATTGACATGCTGAAAGATACTGCATTGAAGAGAGAAATGAATATGATCACAGAAACCAATGGGTGTATGAACACAATAAATATTCCAACTAGAGTTACTGTAAGCTCTGAAACATTAATTGATCTTTTTATTAGTAACGCCGATAGTGAAAATATAAAATCCGGAGTTATAAGCTACCATTTAAGTGATCACCTTCCAATATTCATGTGTTTGAAAACTAGGAACCCTAAACAAAATAGAAATAATGTATCATACCCGTTTCAACATATAACCACCGGAAGGTTGAATGCCTTCAGACAAGAAATTGCAGATACTAATTGGTGTGATATGTTTGGTTCAGAAGATGTAGACGAAGTCTATGGACATTTCCTAAAACTATTTAAAAGCATTTATAGTCGTCATTTTCCGTACAAAGTGTTTAAGGCAAGTAAAAAAATCAGGAAACCGTGGATAACACCTGATTTACTTGAAAAAATTAAAACAAAGAACGCGATGTACCAATCATTCGTTAAATCTAGAGACCCGCAAAGTCTACGGTCCTTTAAAATATATCGCAACCAACTAACAAAATTATTGCGTACAGCTAAAGCTGAGTATCACGATAAGGTGTTTAGGGGTACAAATGGTCGTACGGACTTGGTTTGGAAAAAATTAAATTCAGTGTTAAACCTTGGTTCAGGCCATCAGCCAGTTGATAATATTAACCGGAACGGTGTGGACCTAAGTGGCCTTTCCTTAGCGAATGCTTTCAGCGAATATTTTGCGAATTTATCTACAACAAACGTTAATACTGATCCTTGCAGATACATAGAAGTCAGAAATAGCCATTCCATGTTTCTTGAACCTGTCACAGATGCTGAGGTATTTTTTACATTTATGCAATTAAAAAACAGCTCTAGCTGCGACTGCGATGATCTTCAAATACGCCCACTAAAGTTCGTTATTGATATATTAGTGCCGTACGTAACCCATATTTTTAATCTTTGTTTTTCGTCTGGAGTATTTCCTACGGCGATGCAACTGGCGAAGGTATCTGTCCTTCACAAGAAAGGAGATAAAAATAATTTCAGCAATTATCGACCCATTTCAATTCTTCCCTTATTTTCTAAAGGCCTAGAAAAGGTAATACAGTCCCGTCTCGTACAATTTGCGAATAAGCACGATTTACTCTCATCTTCGCAGTTTGGTTTTAGAAAAAATCGTTCCACGGAATCAGCCCTCTTATCCCAAAAAGAATATATATTACAAAATTTTGAAGAAAAAAGAACGGTTGTTGGCGTGTTCGTAGATTTTACAAAAGCCTTTGACTTCGTGGATCATAACATTCTGCTTTGCAAACTAAATTACTATGGTATTCGAGGGTTGCCGTTAGCACTTCTCAAATCATACTTGAGTCACCGCTTCCAATATATTAACATTAGTGGTCATTCCTCTGATAGAAAGCGTATTATTTCAGGGGTCCCACAGGGAAGTATTTTAGGGCCCCTTCTTTTTAACCTGTATATAAACGATATTGTGAATATAGACCCTGTTGCTAAATTTGTAATTTATGCAGACGACACTAGTATATTTATTTCCTCTTTAAATAGTGATGAAATTGCGGATGATGTTAATTTTACTTTGTCAAGGTTGGCGGCGTGGGCAAAGGAAAATGGATTAAGTATTAACACTGCAAAGACAAAGGCTATTTTCTTTCGTCCAAAAAATAAACAAATGTTTATGCCAAGGCCTATAGTATTTAGGTCAAGTCCAATAGAGATCGTGGAAAATTTTAAAACACTAGGTGTCTTCTTTTCTGAAAATATGTCATGGGATAGCCATGTAAATTATTTGATTTCCAAATTGTCACGTGTTGTTGGTTTAACGTATCGCCACAGCCAATTTCTACCAGTTCGCGTGAAATTAATTATGTACAATGCTTTGTTTTACTCACTCCTCAGTTATTGTAACCTTGTCTGGGGCACAACAACGGCATCCAACCTGAACAAAATTTATCTGCTTCAAAAAAAAATGTTAAGAGCCATCTTCAACGCGCCTTATGACTCTCACACTGAGAATATGTTTAGAAATCTGCAAATATTAAAAATTCATAAGCTATCTGATTATAGACTTTTACTCACCATTAAGAATGAAATTAAAAAGGAAAGTGTTCTTTTAAACCAGATAGTTAGATTAGAAAAAAATAATACGGTTTACTTGACCCGCCATAATGAATATTGGAAGGTTCCCACATGCAGGTCAAATTATGGGCAGCAAATGCTTCGGTGTTTAATTCCAAAACTTCTAAACAACTTTGAAAAGGAAAATGGAAATATAGAAACCATATCTACTAAAGAGTTGCGTAATATATTTTTACATATTTAAGTGTTCTGTGTCTTGTTTCTGTTATCTCATTTAATAATGTATAATTTTCTGTATAATTTTTTTTTTGCACGAAAACTGTTTGTTCACTGGCTGCCGATGGGGCTGAGGGCCAGTCAAGCTTCTTGTTGAAGCTTTTTCCCTTTCGCTCCACCATTTCTTTAAATGGAAATAAAGATTATTATTATTATTATTATTATTATTATTATTAAGGAGAGACTGATGAAAAAAGTCCGCATTTATAATAGTTGAAATTATAATGTAACAAAGAAGCTTTTCTTGTTCGTGGCGTTGCGAGCGAGCATCTTTGAGTCATTGTAGTGCCAGTAAGCTTGTGTAAAATGAGAGACGTTTCAACTTAATATTGTTGCACTGGCACTTTAAAATTGAAAAAAAAACATTTTGTTTAATACTTCGATGTGACACGTATGTAAAAAAAAATCCAAAAGAGAAAACAAAAAGTTAGAAAAATATTTATGTTGCGATACGCTCGAGGCCTCGCCCTTATAACGGTAACACCGCACATTACAACTGCATTGGCTTGGCTACTCGGCCTAACACACGCACGAAAGCCTAAAGTCTCTCTGTCGCGACGTCCTGTGCCGTCTGATACAGTCCGCCGTCTGATACCATTTGCTAGTCGTTCGAGCAGACGCGCGGCAGCGTAGGGAATCGTTTCCTATTAGAACACACTCTACGACCGTCCGCAATGATCTGCAACGTCCGAAACACGCGTACGTTGCTGACGAGCCATAAAAGCGGCGGGTCAGCATCCGCCATCGCTTGCGTTCGTCTGATAATTCGCCACCGTCTAAAACCGTAGCATTCTTGCGTCAACGGCTCTAACGGCCTGCAAGCCCTATTCACTGCCTTATATGAACCGGCTGCCTTCCCCACCTTCTAAAGCGCTGGATGTACTATACCACCGACTGATAGTGCCTCGCACACTCCTAATGGTTGTTGCCGACGAATCTCCTTAACTCAGAATCTTCACAGAGCCGCACGCGCTCCAATAAGTCTGCAATGGCTTCCGACGAAGCGCCGCCGTTTCCGCGCGTGCGCCTTTCGGAATATCATTGTTGGACAGCTCTGCGAAAAACATACTTCTTAAATTGCATGACGACACATTTGGGGCTCCAATCCACGCTGTGAAGGGGGTTGATCAGCGAAGCAGTGGTATCACCTGCAACGATTGCCTACTGCACTATACGAAAGCCGACACTGGTCGCAGCACGCAGCCACTGGTCGTATTGCCGTTTCTCTTCCCTTTGCCGCTCCTAGTATTCACGCTGCTCCTCGGGAGTCTTAACTATGCTTGGTCTACTCATCGCAGTGCTGCAGCAACAATGAAATCAGTTGCTATACTCCGTTTCATCTTACTTTTAAGTGCAGCGGATGTTACGAGCCATTGGAGCCAATCGGAGGCCGTGTGAGTGTCGCGTGACTTTAGAGAGGGGGCGCTGCGACGCGCGGAAAGCGTATCACGGGCCACGTCCCCAGACCGGGATTGGCTAAGATGGCTCGTAGCATCTGCTGCGTTCGGACGTAAGGTGAAACGGGGTAAAGGCGGGTTCTGCTTTTATATATGAAAGGCTAGTGACGTCACTCCATACGTCGCAAGCTGCCGTCGCCGCGGCAGCTAATGACGTCATCCCCTTTCGAAGGAGCTGCAAATCTAATCTTTACCGGAACGCGTGGGAGGGTGTTCCTATGGTCCACACGCGCCTTATCATCCATCAAGTGGCTTTGACGCCTGTTTTGTTGCTTCCTTTACTTAAACGGATACTGAGCTTTATGCTCTATGCCTGATTTTAAAGGAAATATGCTGTTTGGCATTCAATTGTTCAGCGGACGTTTTTTGCTTACAACACCGACACGAAAATTTCCTTGGCTGGTGGAGGTATACACCTTCGCTGTAATACCCGGACAAAGAGTGGGCACGTTCACCAAAAGTTCAAAATGGCGTTTATGACTTTGATGCCAAACAAGCTTTCCGGTTTTTGCCGCTTGTCTTTCTGGAAGTGAAGCGATCGTTCTCCGACTTTAAGAATTTGTTTACAGATAAAAGGCACAACCTAAGCAAACAAACACTGGAGATGTTCCTGACCAATTCCTTCATCCTAAGAGAGCAGAGCGTGTTTTTTTTTTTTTAAATAATGACACACAATTATGAATAAATATAATATTTCAGCGCTAATAAACACTCTGAGCGTACTCAAAGAAATGCATATCATGCCGGAGAATGTCCCGATGTTTTGGAATTCCCTGTTCGAAGTTTCTCCAGATTCAAGCACTCATTTTGTCCCCGAGATTCTAGCCCTAGGCATCACGCGCCATTAAAACGCGGCCTAAAACTGTTCGCTTTATCCAGCCAAGTGCACCGCTCAGAACTTCAGGGATACAGGTCTTGCAAAGCAAAATGACTGAAATATGCCTGGACAAACCTGATGAAAGGCGAACACGCAATTGTATTCAGCCAATTATGTCTAGCGAAATCTTACTTTTGTAGGTTACTTCTCTGTACCGAAACCATTATCGGAATCGCCACGGTTGCACAATTTTTAGAGTAGCAGGGCCACTCAAATACCGGAAACGAACAAATCAAGCCTCATAAAGCAAATTAGCTGGAGTAGGACGCTATGCTTACGCCAGTTCCGCTACGAAAACAAACATCCGAACGGCACTTCCAAAGGCGTGTGGTTGCGATGCTTGTTTGCTGCAAGCTATGTTGGTTGAGGTCTTTATCTGAACATCTCGGGGAACGTGAAACAACTCGCACTCATAAAGATAGATCAACTCAACTAGTTAGATGATGTAGGAAACTACTCATCCGCAAACACCGGTAGCCATGTTTGTTATCGTTCGAAACCAAAGCGGAGAATACGATCTCGTGATATTTTATAAAACAACAGTGGCAATCTATATTGTTTGCTTCTGAAATATAGAAGTATATCGAATGAAAGACTACCACAGCAGAGAGACACAATTTTAAAACAAAACATTCCACACGCCACTCATCTCTCCAACCAATGAGAGCCTAGATACAAAGCGTAGCCAGACTGCCCGCCTACTATAAAAGTTACACTATAGCTATCGGCTTCTCTCCAAGAGGTGTTCAGGCACGATGCTCCACCTCATGGCATGCCCGTAGAAAGTCTGTATTCCAGAGAGAGTCCAACTGCTCAATTGGGGCCACGTGGTCTATAAGCGGCGTTGCCAATACGAGCTTCGTGGAGGTCTAGAAAAGTTTGATCGTTTTCAAACGTCTCCGCCTCCCGTCTGTTTTCCTCCTCGGCACGCAAAAGCGCGGCGCATGTGCACTTGATCAAGAACGCTCCCCATGGTCTGGGATAGACCCCCTTTTCAATACGGGCTCTCTACATGCATGTACGGGTAGGTATCGCCGCAACGCGGCCGTTCATTCTTATTTTTCTAACTTCTAATATTTACATTATTATTAAATATATATATGGTATATTTAAATCTCTTTCTCTCTCTATATATATATATATGTGTGTGTGTGTGTGTGTGTGTCTTTCAACAACACGTGTAGCGCTCCTTTGGGAGTGGCCACCTTGATTCAAAAGATAGTCGGTGAGACAAAATACCGAAACTAGCGAAACCAAAGCAAGAATGGCTAGCTGGTGCTTGTGCATCGCGAACGGGGCGAAAGCTTTGTGGTCTGCTTCGGCTGCAGTTTGGTGTTTTGACACTGTTTTGACGGATATCGGCAATCGCGCGCTCAGAAATAGCTGGTGCCGACTCGTTTGTGGGTGAATGATAAAAAGAAAGAATAGAGATAATGTTCCGATGAAAACAACGAACTGGTTCAGAGGTTTAGTACGTGACTGATGTTGGGGCAACATTATGGAGTGTATTACGGAGGGGGTGGTTGGCTTCCTTAGACGGGAGGTTTGCTGACCACCTAGCTGGCTCCGCCACACGGAAGCCACACGTACTATTTTCTCTCTCCCTTCCCCTTGGTACTGCTCGGAGCCGACAGGAATCGTGTAACATATTGGAAGCGCTGAGTTAGCTAAACAGCCTGAGCAGAGCTACCTCCGCCTGTGGCGTAGGCAGGAAATGTTTTCCGGAGGGGTACTGAAGTGCCCATTTTTTCCGGGGGGGGGGGGGGGGGGGGGTGTTCAGGTGTCTGCGATATCCATGACTTGGGGGGAGGGGGGGGGGGGCAAAATACATGTGTATAATATTCGGTCGGCTGCATTTAGGGGGGAGGGTTGAAGCCTCATATAAGTTCCATCCCCCCCCCCCTTTTTACGCTCTCTTGAGTCCTCCACCTAATAGACCCTCCCGAAATTGTGAAATGACGCATAGATTGTAAGAAGCCGCCATTGGTTGGTCTCATCACTTCCGACGGGAAGCCCCTGATTGGTTCGGAGTTGTGGACGAGCACTGACGCAGCACTCGTCTGGAGTGCGTTTCGATCCGAGTACACTCCGAATCCTGGTGAAGCGCTCGCGTTTAATGCGCGCTCATTGTGCATCACCAATTAATGGCGGCCGCATATAATCTATTCACCATTTCGAAAATTCTTATATGTGTCTATTGCAACCGGCAACGTAAATATTGCGGCCAAAACTTTTTCGTGCAATTCTTTTGATGCGTTGAAATTTGTTTTTAATAAAAAAATATTATTTATTTCATTTTTTTAACATGACGAGGACGACGTTCTTTGTATTAATATTAATTGGGCCAACTATTTCCATAGTTCAGGATGAGTCAAATGACAAGATACTGAAAAATGCAGAGGAACATGTCCATAACCTACGAATATTTTATGATGCCATTACCTTCATGTTGGCACACGTCTGTGTTGCACACTTTTTTGCGGGAGTTCTCCTCTTGAAGAAGTGATTGCGGTACTAGAATAAAAAAAGATATTCTTTGATCAGTCAGCAGACTTTAAACAGGCGTGAATTAACACGCATGTAGCATTCCCCGAAAATTTGCAAAGCGATCGCTCGCTTCTCCCAGTGGCGAGAGAGTGGTCCCACGCTCCAAGCGTAATTAGATGTGTCACAATTACCGAGGTACCATCTGTAAGCGGAAAGTCGCAGCACGGCGGCTAAGAACAGTTAGTACTTTCAAAATATATATAAAAATAAGCGGCCGTGTTCACATTTACGACTGAGCAAATTCTCTACAGAGTTGAAAAAATGCTCAATGTGGCCATTTTTCTTCCAGAAAGGCCGGCTTTTTTTTCTTTCTTTTTTTTTAAATTAGAGCGTGTTGGTAAAATTACGGAGATAAAGGAAAGCAAAATGAAGGCAAAAAGGACAAAAACTGGACGAAAATAGGACAGAAAAGGAAAGCAGTTGCAAATATGTTTTGTCCTCTCCTCGTCCTTTTTGCTGTTCATGTTGCTGTCCTTTATCCCCTTCGTTTCAGCACGTTCTTGTTTTCTACCTTGAAGTACAAGGATATGATGCTTCCGGCATACCGCTTTTGCTGAGGTTTGTCGGAAGGAGTCACGGGATCGCTCTCGCACGTGCGATCATCATATCTAAGTTACAAGCCCAAAATATCTAAGGACGCAGCCCTGTTCTCTTGTCTCATTTTTGTTTTTATTAACCTTGATTTCACCATGAACACTATACCAGCATACCCAACTTTCGATTCACGTATTAAGGCTTTCATACAGGTAAACACAATATGCGTGGTAAGCATTTCCCCCTAGATACAGGATTAGAAAAGAACAAAGCATTTTGGAGGTCCCGAAAATGCAATTTTGGACCTTTGTCTCAATGAATTCCCAACTGAGTATACATCTTCAAAAAATTGAATTGTTATGAGGATTAGTTTATTGGTGCACCGAAAAATGCATAAAAAACGTTATGAAGAGTCGACGTGCTTTCGTCCCCCCCCCCCCCCCCGCCCCAGAACAACAAAAACATAAACAAAGAGTTTTTTTTAATGTATATGTAGGGCCGGCAAGAAGGAGAAGAAGAAGAACCAGGGGCTTCAGATAGAGAGCTCGAGACCGAAGACACCATCGCGGACTGTCGACCGAGATGGAATGTACATATAAGTAAATATATGAAGGGCAGATGAACAACCCTTCATATGGTGACCCGGACGTGATCCCGACCTCAGCAAACTGAAATCCACACCTGACAGGACAACGCAACGGCAAGTCACCGTCGTTTTCCCTTCACAGTTCTTCCCACAGTAGCCCGACATGGCTGACGCTAACGCCGGAGGTGAACAGCCGACCACCGAACAATTGGTTCACCAACTCGGCACTATCAGCCACCGACTACCCACATTCTGGCCTGTGGACCCGGAATTGTGGTTCGCGCAAGTAGAGCAGGAGTTTGCCCGTAGAAACATCACCGCAGAAATGACAAAATTTCGTGAGGTCGTCACGTCCTTGTCGTCTGCAGAGGCAATGGAAGTGAGAGACATCGTCATTTCTCCACCAGACCAAGAGCCCTATGAACACCTCAAGCGAGAATTGATCCGGAGAACCACCGCGTCAGAACAGCGACGCCTGCAACAATTGATCACGGCCGTCGCAGCTCCTACGACGCATGACACAACTTTTGGGCAGTCAAGCCCAAAAGTCCTCGCAGACCTCGACAGTCCTCGACAGTCCTCGAGCCAGAGTCCTCGCATTTGAGAGGATCAAGGACGACCTCGCGAGTGCCACGATGTTGGTTCACCCGGTGCCTAACGCTCCAACGCGTGTCATGACCGATGCGCCCGAAGAAGGCGTCGGGGCTGTTTTACAACAGAACATTGAGCAGCAATGGCAAACTCTCTCCTTCTTTTCTCAGAAACTACGCCCATCAGAAAAGAAGTATAGTACTTTTGGAAGAGAACTCTTGGCAATACATCTCGCATTGAAACATTTTCGATACTTCCTCGAAGGACGCTCCTTTCATATAGTCACCGATCACAAGCCCTTGACTTATGCCTTAACATCCAGTGGACATACATATACTCTCCTCGAGAAATCAGGCAAATGGCGTTCATTATAGAATTCACAACCGATATCAGATACGTCAAAGGTTCTCGCAACAACGCAGCCGACGCTCTCTCCCGCGCAGATATACAGTCGTTGGAAGGAACCTTCTTGAGTACCGTCGATATTCATCAGATGGCGCGCTCCCAACAGTCAGACCAAGAACTTCAAAATCTACGCTCTGGACACACCGCGCTCAGGTTCGAAGACCTTCATCTTCCATGGTGCAGTGCCACTCTAACGTGCGACATCTCTACAGGCACAGCACGGCCGTTTGTTCCTCAGCAGTTCCGTCGTCAAATCTTCACGGCTCTGCACTCACTCGCACACCCTGGCATTCGGGCCACACAACGCCTAGTCCCATCACGATTCGTGTGGCCCAAAATCAATGTCGATGTTCGCACATGGACACGTACTTGTCAGCAGTGCCAAAAGGCAAAAATTAATCGCCATACCGTTGCGCCAGTCGCCAGGTTCAAGCTCCCAGATACCAGATTTTCCGAAGTTCATATCGACCTTGTTGGACCATTACCACCTTCAAATGGATTTACGTACATTCTCACGTGCGTTGATCGATTCACACGCTGGCCAGAAGCAACGCCACTAACCAATATCACAGCTGAAGAGGTCGCCCAAGCCTTTATGACAACATGGGTCTCACGCTTCGGCGTACCGGACAAAATCACAACTGACAGAGGCCGACAGTTTGAGTCCCACCTTTTTGCACAACTCCTACGGATTTTAGGAGCAACGTGAATCCGCACCACGTCCTATCACCCGACCTCAAACGGTCTAGTGGAACGGTTTCATCGGCAACTGAAGACATCGCTAAAGGCCTGCAAAAATCCAACAAACTGGTCAGAAGCACTCCCACTCGTTTTACTGGGTCTTCGTACGGTCTACAAAGCAGACCTCTCCTCTACAGCGGCTGAACTCATTTATGGTACGACCCTAAGGCTGCCAGGCGAGTTTTTCCATACTCCCCTATTGGAAAAACGTACAAGAAACAAACCTGCTGCTTGTACAGTCCTGGTATGACACCAACTTAATTTATTGTTATTATACATGCAACTAGTTTGGTTTTGCGTTCTCCATAACTGGAGATACCGGCACCGCTATGGCTCCGGGTCTGTCTATACTGGCAGCCGGTTTGCTCGCCGATATGACTCGGTATGGCTGGTATGATTTTGCGTCCGATGACGTAGGCGACCGCCATCTTTCCAACGAAACGCCTATACCACAAGACCACCGGTATAACTAAACCATACATGCAGAAAGACGACCGCCATCTTCCAACAAAAACGTCCATCGTTTACCACCGGTATCGTTACATACATCATACATGTCGAAAAATAACATAAGCCGCGTTTACATGAATGCGACTTAGTCGCATTGAATCCAGTTGCCGCATTCAATATGCGGTCATGTAAACGGCATAATGCGCAAAGCGCATCGCATTAAAGTCGCTAGACAGAGGTGGATCGAGATGGCGAGTGCGCATTCATTCAGCCCATGTAAACGAAGATCGCATCGCATTTTGGAACGGGGAGGATTATCGGAAGGCGCTCGCTGCAGGAGCGAGTGCATTTTGGAACGGGGAGGATTATCGGAAGGCGCTCGCTGCAGGAGCGAGTGAACAGCTGAGAACATGGTGGCGGCCAACCTCGTCGGCGGCGCGGAGAGCGGTCCCGCAATTTTTTTCCCGAGAACAAACGCAAGCTTTTATTGCGATCATAAGTAAGCGGAATTCAGCGCAGCTGCTCGGTGAGGGCGGCCCCGTCCAAACCTTTGCGAAGTACGACTTGCGCGTCCGAAGGGGTCACAAAGGCTTCGGTGCAAGCACGCATGACACCGAGAGCTCCGAGCACTGTAGAGCACTGCATGGTTGCGCAGAACGAGCAGCTCCTACCTCGCTGCCGTTCCTGGCTGCGCAAGAGCCTCTCGGACTCGGGGTCTGGTCGCGATCGGCGAGGTCTGGCGCGGCGAAACGTGGAGGCTTCCTCAAAGCGTGCACACACACGTCGCCTCTCGTTCAGAGTGGACCGGCGGCCCGGACTGGAGTCCTAAACGCCTTGGTTTTGATGCTTCTTCCGTCTCCCAACTTCTTCCACAGCACCGAAGACAGCGGGCGCGATCTTTACGTTCACTGAATGCGTCGAAAGGCCTCCACGTGCGATGCACCGGAAAACGTGGTGCGGCTGGTGCCGGAACGGAACTGACGGAACTGCATAACTTCGAGCTTTGAGTCAACGTGGACGGCAACAAACCGATCGTGACACTAAGCCGCGGATACCGCATCGCCGGTCGACAGGGGCAAATGGCCCGTTGCTCGTATCGTGGGCCGTGACTCGTACTCGGCCAACTCGGCGTCTTTTCGTGGCCCCTCGCGTCGTCGCAACCAGCCGCAAACATACCAGCCCGCGACCGTGGCCGATGTCGGAGAAAAGCGAAACCGAAACGTAAAGCTTCCGCCCAGTGGCTTCCGCTGCCGCGCCTTTTCTAACTTCCCGGCCAGTCCCGGCTTACACGCTTCCGGTCGTCGCGGAGATGGCGACGCAGCCAGACGTAGCGGTTTTGGCGCTGGCTCCTTCTGCGTTTTACGGGACAGATGTTTTACGGTCCGTTTCTACTGCGTCTCTTGCTCTCAACTCGACGACGCCTCTCATGGTTCAACCAGGCGTGGTCAGCCGGGGTCAGCACAGCGCGGCCGGCTCAACTCGTCTGATCGCCGGACCGCAGGCGACTTCCGATTTCGGCCGTTAGGCCTAGGATCCGAAGGACTCTGTTTCCGTGAAGCGGTAAGCGAATCTCGTCCCGTTTTCGTTCTACTTTTAAATTACGTTAGGTGCGCTACAGTGTCAGCATGCGTGCCAAGTGTTCGTGACAATTTTGAACTAGAATAATTGTGCTTCATTGCGGTTTGTCATTTACGAAAAAGTAAATCGAGCAATGAACGAGGAGCCATGCTTGAAAACGATGTATGTACGATGTTAACTTCTACCTGGGCGGCTTAAAAAAAAAGTCAAGACTGGTTACGGTTGGATGCGAGGCTGGTCCCAATGCAATGGTAACCACTTAGAGCACCTTTCTGAACAGCATGTAAGCAATATAGCGATCAACGAGACGAGCGACGACGAGAAGCTACGAGTGCCGGCGCCGAGCGACGAAGATTTCTCACTCTCGCTGCTTGCGCCGCTCGGTTCCTGGGCTTCTAGAAAACGTCGCTCATCGCCTTGATCGCTCGCACCAATCGCTTTCATAATGTGTGTCTCGTCGCGCAGCTGACTACCGTGTTTATTCAAATATATGTCGACCTTTTTTTTTCTTTTCTTTTATTTATTTTTTTTTTCGGAAATCGTGACTAAGGAATTTCGACCTACATTCGCGACCAAATTTTGCGACCGTACCGGAGGCATGAAGCTATCGAGTCACCGAGCCGGCGTTGCCGTAGAGCTGCGCCGCTTCTTGTTTCCAAAAGCTTTTGTTAAACAACCGAAAACAACAGCGGTGGCCGGTGCCGCTTTCGCGCGCACCTCTTGGGGCATTGGATTTCGCCATCGCACCTCTAGCGTTCCCCTTGCTGGGCAATGGGGAAGGAGAGGAACGCGATGCGCCATGCACTTTGTCCTCCATCCTCGCAAACGCGCACAAAAAAAGAAAAAAAAAAAAGATGTTACTTTTGTTAGTTGCTTGAGGCGGCTCGGCTCGCGTGTTGCTCACCCTATTGGAAAAACGTACAAGAAACAAACCTGCTGCTTGTACAGTTCGGGTATGACACCACCATACTTTCTTGTTATTATATATGCAGCTAGTTTGGTTCGGCTTTCTGCATAACTGGAGATACCGGCACCGCTATGGCTCCGGGTCTGTCTATACTGGCAGCCAGTTTGCTTGCCGATATGATTCAGTGTGCTGGTATGATTTTGCGGCCGATGACGTAGGCGACCGCCATCTTTCCAACAAAAAACGCTTATACCACACCACCACCGTTATATCCAAATCATACATGCAGAAAGACGACCGCCATCTTCCAACATAACGTCCATCGTTTACCACCGGTATCGTTACATACACCATACATGTCGAAAAAGAACATAAGCCGCGTTTACACGAATGCGACTTAGTCGTATTGAATTTAGTTGCCGCATTCCATATGCGGTCATGTAAACGGCATAATGCGCAAAGCGCATCGCATTAAAGTCGCTAGACAGAGGTG